AAAGCCATGTGAGTACAGAGGCAGAGATTAGAATGATAATGCAACAAGCCAAGGATACCTTGAGCTACTAGAAGCCAGAAGCAAGGAAGACTTTTCCCCTGGAGACTTCAGAGTGAGCATAGCTCTGCTGACACCCTGATTTTGAACTTTATGCCTCTACAACTGTTTGAGCATAAGTTTCTGTCCTTTTAAGCCCCATAGTTTGTGGTACTTTGTTCCAGTAGCTCTAGGAAACTAAAACTGGTGGCTTCTCACAGGGGCCAAACAGTGGGAGAAAACAGACAGATGCAGTATAATAGGTAATGAGAGGACTCGATTGCTTTGCTTGTCAGTTGTTTGTCAGAGTCTGAATCAAGGAGCAGCAACATTCCTTGGAGCTTGTTTGAAATGCACAATCTCAGACCACACCACAGTCCTAAAGACCTAATATCCCTTGACATTACTGCAGCTCTAACTATGCAGCCTGGGGAACAGCAGCAAGAGCACCAACATATCTGAACCTTTTTTGTGTACTGGGCTCTGACTGAAAGATCATGCCATGTGTTAACTCACTTAATTCACACACTGACCTGTAAGAGGTATGCTGTTATCATTCCCATTTTTCAGACAGGGAAATAGGTCCCAGAAAGGCTAAGTAACTTTCTGAAGTCATTCAAATAACAAATATTTAATTTTAGGACATGAGCCACATGTATCTTTATTCTAAAGGAAAGTTATAAAGTTATGTGGCTACTTCAGAGAGGAGTGCTGAAAGGTCAGGCCCCCTTCTCTTGTTGCTCCTGAAACAAAATTAGAAATAGCTTTGCTGCTGGAAAAGGTGTGTTACAGGATATGCCTTGCAGATAAAAGTCCAAAATGGTGTTCCCATTCTTCTATCTCCACCCGTCCCTACTGCAGTCATAAATTAAGCAGCATGGTAACTGCAGGCTTTTCCCAAAGAGGAAAGATGCAATTTGGAGGAGGCAGGACTAGAGAAGAGAACGCCAGATTCAAGATCCAGCTCAGAAAAAAAAATCTAGTGATGGCTTAGACCTTAAACTCCTGAATGCCTTCTAATAGAAACTTCCTACTCATTATGAGGATGGGATCTTTTGAGATCATAAGAGACAAGGAGAAGAAAGACATTTTCTCCCTCCTACTGAAGATTCTAGGAAATTGATATTTTGTGACTCAGCCATATTGTGGAAAGAGGATAAATAGTGGCTTCCTCTAATGCTGTCCTTAGCTCTGTGTCTACCATATCTAATTGTAAACCACTGACTCTGCTTCAGAAGAAGGTAAAGGAGGGTGAGAGGGTGAATACACCCTCCTTTCTGCCAGCCTGTCAGAGAAGACTTGCCTAGGCATCCTGAGTCTTTGAACTTACTCTGCCTTGAGTAGCCTCTTTTCCCTAAATCCCCTTTCTGAACTTGTATCCATTCATCAAAACCCACCTCGACCATTCCCTCCTCAGGGAAGTCTTCTGTATCTCTCTGTGCTTGTTCTGTTACCCTTGGCAGAACTGCTCACTCTTCTTCTGAGGCTCTGCTGTAACTTACACTCATTCCTATTATAAAATTTACCCTTCTGTGTTTCTATTTTTGGTTACATGATTGCATCCTTTATTAAATTATGATTACTCTAAGGTCATTATTATATCCCTAGTGGCACAGGCCTAGTAAATATTTTTACATGAATAGAAATCCACTCTATATCATGGAATTCCTATTAAAGCTCATTGGGAGTGTTTAGAAATTGATATCCAGTGTGATATCAAGTAGTTATATGTGGCCATTAATTTTAAATTCATTGAAATTAAGTAAAATTTAAAATTCAGCTCTATAGTTCTATCACATTTCTAGTTCTCCATAGACAATAGGTGTGGCTAGTGGCTAGACACCACACTGATACAGGACATTTTCAAAATTAAACAGTGCAATTCACAAATTCATCATTTTTGAAGTGTACACCACTAATTCTCATGGGTAAGATTACCCATCATTTTATAGCCATGCACAATATTTCAAAGATGATACTGTAAATGTTCAGTGATTCTCCATTGTTAGGCAGAGAGACATTTTTTCCCCTAAAGTAGCAGAAGGCAACACATCGAAATGATGGAAAATTTGTCTTCCTTACTTACAAGCTATCTATCTATGGGAAAATTACTTGACCTCTCTGGGACTCCATTTGCTTATCTATAAAAGGGAATAAAATAACCACGCACAGCCCACAGGGGTAGTGTAAGAATTAAATGAGATACTGTATATACAGTTAAGACATAGTGTTCAATGAAAGGGCAGTTATTATCTTTATGGCACCTGAACCTCCAAGAGCCAACCTGTGCACACAGTGCTGCAGAACTGCTAGGAGCCGTGACTAAGTTCCCTTCTCGGTGTTTAAGACCGCCACCCCTGGTCGTGAGAGTGCTATGAACTGGATCAACTACTGCAAAGGCAAAGACCAAGCGTAACTGGATCACCACATATCGGGGCTATACTGCTGACTCTATATTTCCTGTGTAGCTCAATTTCATCATCTGTAAAATAGGAATAGTATATTCTTACGGGATTTCGTGATAAATAAGTACATGGTCCAAAAAAAGCCTGACTCAGAAGCTGGTAATTTGTGCTCACTGAATAAACTCCAGAAACAAATGCCTATTGTTATTGTTTTCATTTTCCTGCTAGGAGTCATCTCATGTCTCATTTATTCGATGAATAAGTAAATACTAAATCAATAAATAGCTTCTCCCAGTTACTGATACAGACTGTGAGTAAATACCACCAACATGCCCACTTCATGAAGGTCCAGCCAAATTAAACAGCTCACACCAAGATTCGTACATTTCAAGCAGCAACCAGGAAAAAGTAAAATATGACTTTAAATGCAACAGCTTAGATCTCTATGCTTCCATTCTCATGATTCTCATACTTATCCAAATATTACTTTTGTTTTATGCCAAATTTATGTATAACGCATAACTGGCTTCCCCTTAATATTGACAGTGTAAGTTTTCTGTTTGCACTTTGATTTTTAACCTATTTATTTAAATTAGTAAACTCTGTTTTAATCAAAGACGTAAAAATAGCCTCGTGTTTAATAATGGAAAACCAGATTCAGCTAATCATTTGATGAAGTTTCATCAAATATATATATGTGTGTGTGTGTGTATGTGTGTGTATACATCAGCACCTTTGATCAATGCAAAAAAGCCTAAAATCATTGTGGTTCAGGAGAAGTGCCCGGGATAACACGTGATATGAATGCAATGTTCGTCTGAGGTTGGTGGGATTTGCTCAGTGATTGTAATTAGAGTGCCTGGGTTAGTTGTTCTCCACATGCCTTGACCAGATGCTTTTTCCTCTCCTCTTTGCCCTGTGCCAGGAGGAGACTTCATCTGCCTGGCTCCCTTGATGGTTGTCTTTCCTTTAGGTTTGAACAGTGAGTGACAGGATCTGTGTTAGGAGAGAAAAGTAGATGCCCTGTTTTAGCACGTCACCTCTGGTAGAAGTTGTGTTCCTCCAGGAACAAGGCTCCCTGGGTACGAAAGTACTCCATAGCTGTCCTCTCACTTGGCTCCAGAAACTCACTTTCTTCCCCTGCATTCAGCCACATGGTGGGAATGGCTTGATGCCAGTCTCTGGGTGTCTCACTGTCCCTTGTTTGATGCAGTAAACTCTGTGCCTACCCTGTCACAGCCTCTTCATTAAATTACTTTCATGTGAATTATCTGGGGCAAATTCTGTTTTCTACCAGACCCAGCCTTTTTACAAAGAAAAAAGAAAACGCTCTGTTGCAGGTATTTAACTACAGGAAAGTTATTTCTACTGACTTCAGTTTAGTTTTCTCCAAAATGGGAGTAACAGCATGTACTCATTGGCTCTTACAGGGTTGTGAAGTTGGTATGCAAAAATCAAACGGAATCTCATGACTTCTCCTGGGAAAAGGGCTAATATTCTTCTGTGTTCTGAATGGGATAAATTATGAGGTGAGAGGTCTGTTTTGCAAACATAAGAGAAGCCATCCTGAGAATGTAATGAAGGAAGGCAGAGCTGAAAGAACTGCAGAGAAACTCAGCTAGATTCTATCAAACTGCAACTAAAGGCTTGCCTAATAGAAGGACTACTTTGTATTTCTTTTTATGATTTAGACAAGCTTGGATTTGGTTTTCTGTATTTACAACCATAAAACATTCAACGTTGTAAAAGAAACAAACTGTCTTCACATGTTTACTCATTAGACGTTGATGGAACAAATACACTTTTTGATAAATATTTACTCTTGGTAATTAATCCCATTCCCCAGCTTGTTGAAAAAACAGTCTGAAATCAAAGGAAGGTTTAACTAAATGCAGCAAATATCTAATACATCCAGTAATAATAGAAATGTTTAGGTAAGCAGCCTAAAATTATACTCATCTGAGCTTTAAGGCTAACTTAGATCTTAGTAACTGTAAAACATCAGTTTTCTAAGCCATCAGAAAAAGTCAGTCTTGTGCTTTAGCAGCTTAACATTGAATGTAGATAATGTAAGTTACAATACACAAATGTGAAAGGGCAGGAGCAGAAGAAATGCCTAAGAACTTGAAAGAATGTACTGTTTCTATCAAGAAAGCAATGTCTACTCTTTTCAGAAAATTAATTTTAGGAAAAATTTAAAATTATACTTCTGTACAATACTGCTTTTGAATGTGAACTTGTGAATTTATTTTTTTCAAAATAATGACATTAAAATTTTACATAGCCTATATTGAATTTACATATTCAAATGAGGCTTTTCCAGTAATAATGGGTATTAATACAAAGCTAGAATTTGACTTTTGATTTTAAGTCAAAGGTACTAACCATCCTATGAGTTACCAGAAGATTGACGCTTTTTAAATTTGACTTCTCTTGAAAATTAAAAAAGAAAAGCTTTAGTAAATTTTGGACATACATATTTTCTCCACATTTTACACTTAGTGAAATAAGAATATCTGCATAGCTCAGTTAACATCAACAGAAAGCTTCAAAAAAGAATTCAGGCAAAATATTTTTTATTGTAGGCAATTATTTAAACTGCGTATTTGGCTTTATACATAATAAGTCATGTGGGAAAAACATCCACGTTGCAGTCAGGATTTCAATATCTAGCTTCCATTTTCCTTTTTTTCTGAGCAATGGCGTTAATGGGATTTTGCCATTATAAAAATGGGGGCTTCCTTGGGAGTTACTTGTAGTTTCCAAGCTGAATGGCAGAGCGCACATAGACGCATCGGAAGGTAGATGGCTGAATCTCCCAGTACTGAACTGGGTTGCTGAAAAGGCTCACTCCTGAATAAGAAGCCTTCTTTGTGTTGTATCCAGGAGGGCAGAAGTCATTAGATCCAACAGCGGAGATGTTGTTGTTATGAAGGTAAACAACCTGCAGCATTAAATAACGGAGAATCATTATTTTTCTCTGAATGTACCGAGGCCCCTCATGTAAATACTTTATTCTTTTCAAGTATTTTCATTTTCCAGTTTAAATACTGCAATACTTCTCAAACCAAATTTTTTATTTCTCTCTTTCTTTTAAAACTTGCTTTTCCCTCCCTCAGTCTCCTCATTATGGTATACAGCATCACAAGCTTTTCAGATTTTCAAGCAGAAAAGCATTGTCATTATCTTTGCTCCTTCCTTTCTGTCACACTCTCTCCCAGCAAACCCTGCCAGCTCAGACTTCAAAATATTCATAGACTCTAGTTCTCTTCCCCATGTCTACTCCCAAATTCTTCTCCAAAGCCACCATTATCTCCTTCTGGATTATTGAAATTGCACTGATTTTTCTTCTGGCTTCTTCTTTTGCTTCCCTAAAGTCTGTTCTTTATTTCCTTTGTTTTGGTTCACAAAACAACTGTTTTAAAAACTAAGCCAAGTTATAACTTCTTTATTTCAGCATTCCAGCAGCTTTCCATGTCTAAAATAAAACCCAAAGTTCTCCCATTGGCCTTCATATCCTGTGTGATCTGATACCCTTCTGCTCTGACCTCATCTTCCCTTACTGTTCAATACAACCACCCTGGCCTCCTTGCTTCTCTTCTAACATGCAAATCATCGTTCCCCCTCAAGGTGGCATACACCATTTCCTTCACCTGGAATCATCTCCTCCAAGATGTCTGCCAGGTTTACTGCCTCATGTAATCCATTTTTCCTTAGCAAAAATGTCTCACCCAATCATCACTTCTGCCATTCTCTGTCCCACATAAACTTATTTGTTCCTCTTCATAGCAATCATCACTGTATATCCAATTATATATTTATTTATTTTTGTCTATTCTCCTCCTCTAGAATAAAAGTTCCATTAGGAGAAAATCCTTTTCCTGTTTGGTTCATGACTGTATCTCTAGTGTCTACTAGGACAGAGTAGGTGTTCAATAAACATAGGTTGAGAGAATAAATGAATGGATTCATAGTTATTTCATAAATTGTGTCTATGTGAAATATATTTTCAGGAGCAAAGATAAATTATAGAACTTTCAATAAAGTTATATAAAATAAGGAAGTAATAAATAGTAAAGAAAAAGAGGTTATACAATACTGAAATCAAAATCAACTTAAACTCTAAGAAAATGTGTCACAGCAATTGCAATAAATATACCTATAAAGTTTTTTAATGTATTCTCTGTTACAAATTATACTTTATAAATACATTAGAGTTCATTAGACTTTTTTTCTGAAATATATTTATGATTGCATGTAAGATAATGGTAGTTTGTTAATAGATTTCTGTAGGGATACTAAATATAAGACCTAGAAAAAGGACTTAAGAAATGAGTTTTTTACTTCCTTTACATAGATGTGAATTCTGAAGAGCAATAAATGACTTGATGATAAAACCATACAATGATGCTAAAATATAATGATATGTAACATGACAATTTCTGAGGCAAGCTATAAAATCCACGAGGTGTTCCCTTAAAATAGTTGACTTGACACACTGTTCCACCTACCAAAACGCTCACACCCGCTTGGTGGTGAAAAGGACCTTCTTTAAGAAAGGTTTACAATAAGGAGAACAGTAGATGTCATACCAAAACAGGAACAAAGGATATCAAAATCAAAACAATAACTATGAGTATCTTTCTTCTGTGATTCTCAAACTCTGAACAATTCTTATTGTCATTTACCATTCTTTATTTCCTAGCAGTGATTAGCAAGAAAGGGGAAAGGTAAGAGTTTATGGCTAATATTGAAGGTGAGAAAAGAAAACATCAATACATAAAGCAAATATTAGTCTGTGTAAAAAGGAAATTAGATTCTCAACTCATTCTATGAGGTCAATCTTTTCTAATATTAAAGCAAGACAAAAGCACCATAAGAAAACTATAGTCAAATATCTCATATGAATATAGACAAAAACTTTAACAAACTATAAAAAAAGGTATCTCACATGTAAAAAAATTATACATAAAGTCAAAGACATTTATCTCAGAAACATAAATTGGTTTAATTAATTGTCCAACCCCTTCTTAAAATAGAAAACAAGGCAAAGATGTTTAATTTCATCACTTCTATTCAACTTTGCACTAGAGATTCTATGCAATGAAATAAAATAAGAAAAAGATAGCCCTGGCTGGTCTAGCTCAGTGGATTGAGCAAGGGCCTGTGACCCGGAGTATTGCAGTTCAGTTCCCAGTCAGGGCACATGCCTGGGTTGCAGGCCAGTTCCCAGCAGGGGACACACAAGAGGCAACTATACATTGATGTTTCTTTCCCTCTCTCCTTCCCTTCCCCTCTAAAGATAAATAAATAAAATATTTTTAAAAGAAATAAAATAAGAAAAAGAAATAAAAGGAATCTAGATTAAAAGAATAACTAAAACTGTCTATTTACAAGTGAAAATACCTGAATATAGAACATCCAAAAGAATACATGGAAAACTAATTTCAATAGTTTTATAACTAAAAACTATTTCAGCATAGTACTAGGACAGAAGAGCAAGATAAAAAAATGAATTGAATTTCTGTATATCAGCAACAAACAGTTCAAAATGAAATTAAGGTAGCAATTCATTCACAACAACATAAAAAAACAGAAATGAACTTAATAAAAGAATCATTAACATTTATACCCAAAAATGACAAAACACTGTTGTGAAAAATTAAAGAAGATCTACATGTTAGGATATTATATTGCATGCTTTTTAATCAGAAGACAATATTATCCAGATAAAAACTCTCCTCTGATTGATCTAAAGTTTTAATCCAATTCCTATCAAAATCCCAGCACACTATTTTAGCAGAAATGAAAAAGTTGATCCTAAAATTACACAGAAATGCAAAGAAACAAAAAGAGCCAAAACAATTTTGGAAAACAAGAAGGAAGTTACAATATCTTCACTCCCAATTTGAAAACATAATCAAAAGCTATAGTAATCAAAAGGTGCAGTATTAGCAACATTCGCAAATCAATATGTGTGTTTTACCACATAAGTAAAATGTAGGATAAAAGTCACATGATACTATCATTTGATGCAGAAAAAGCATTTGACAAAATCCAGCAGTCACTTATGATAAATAACTCTCAGCAAAGTGGGAATAGAAGGAACATAGCTACACATAACAAAGGCCACATATGACAATCCTACTGCTAGCATGGCACTCAATGGGCAAAAACTACAAGTGTTTGGGTTCTCCTTATACTTGGGAACAAGACAGGTATGTCTGCTTTCACCTCTCTTATTCAACATAGTACTGGAAATCCTATCCACAGCAATCAGACCAAAAGAAATAAAAGGCATCCAAATAGGAAAGGAAGTAGTAAAACTGCTTTTACTCACAGGTAACATGATAGTGTACATAGGGAACCCTAAAGATCCCACCTAAAAATTAACTAAAACTGATCAATGAATCCAGGAAGTAGCAGAGTACAAAATTGATATCCAAAAATCAGTTGTATTTTAATATGTCAATAACAAACTAACAGGAAATGGAAATTAAGTAAACAGTCCCATTCACAATTGCTTCAGAAAGAATAAAATACCAAGGAATGAACTTAACCAAGCATATAAAAGACCTGCGCTCAGTAAATTATAAGATTCTGAAGAAATAAATTGAAGAAGATACAAATAAGTGGAAGCACATACCATGTTCATGGATAGGAAGAATTAACATCATTAAAATGTCCATGCTACCCAAAGCAATCTATAGATTCAATGCAATTCCAATTAAGATTCCAATGGCTTATTTCACAGAACTAGAACAAATATTTCAAAAATATGTACGGAACCATTAAAGGTCCCACATAGCAACAGCACTCCTGAGAAAGAAGAACAGAGTTGGAGGAATCATGCTACCTAATATGAAATTATACTCCAAGGCCATATTAATCAAACAGCCTGGTAATGGCCTAAAAACAGACACACAGATCAATGGAACAGAATAGAGAGCTCAGATAAACCCACACCTTCATAGTCAATTAATATTTGTCAGAGGAAGTAAGCACATATAATAAGCAAGAGATAGTTTATTCAATAAATGGTGTTGAGAAAAATGGACAGATAAAGCCAGAAAAATGAAACTAGACCACTTTCCTATACCACACACAAGAATAAATTCGAAGTGGATCAAAGACTTAAATATTAGACCTGAAACCATAAAAATCCTAGAAGAAAACATAGGCAGCAAAATCTCAAATATGGCTTGTAGCTATTTTTTAACCAGATATATCTCCCCAGGCAAGGCAAAAAAAATAAACAAATGGTACTATATCAAACTAAAAATTGTTTCACAGGAAAGGAAATCATCAACAAAATTAAAAGACAACCGACAGAATGGGAGATTGTATTCACTGATACAGCTAATAAGGGTTTTTTAAAAAAGATTATTTACTTATTTATTTTTAGAGAGAAGGAAGGGAGGGAGAAAGAGAGGGAGAGGAACACCAATGTGTGGTTGCCTGCTGCATACTCCCCACTGGGGACCCTGCCCACAACCCAGGCATGTGCCGCAACTGAGAATCAAACAGGCAACCACTGGTTCACAGGCCCACACTCAATCCACTGAGCTACATCAACCAGGGCTGATAAGAGTTTAATATCCAAAAATTTATAAAGTACTTACAAAATGAAACAAAAAATAAATGACCCAATTAAAAATGGACAAAGGACCTGAATAGACTCATCTCTAAAGAGAACATACAAATGTCCAATAGACATATGAAAAGATGCTCAACATGACTAATCATCAGAGAAATGCAAATTAAAACCCCAATTAGATACTATTTCAAAACTGTCAGAACGGATATCAACAAATCAATAAACAAGTGCTGGTCAGTATATGGAGAAAGTTTTCCTTCATTATTTTTCAATTAAGTTTCCAATTTCTTGCTCTTCCTCTTCTGGCACCCCTTTACTTCTGGCACCCCTATGATTCAGATGTTGGCATTTTTAAAGTTGTCCCAGAGGTTCCTAAGCATCTTCTTTTTTAAAAAAAAATTATTTTTTCTTCCTTCTGTTCCAAATCATTGATTTGAATCCCAGTTTCCTCCCCTTCATTGTTGGTTTTCTGCATATTTTTTATTTCATTTTGCATAGCTTTCACTGCTTTCTTTATTTTGCAACCATACTCAATCATTTCTGTGAGCACTCTGATTACCAGTGCTTTGAACTCTGCATGTAATAAATTGGCTATCTCCTTGTCACTTAGTTCTTCTTCTGGAGTTCTGATCTGTTCTTTCACTTGGGCTACATTTCTTTGTCTTGGCGCAGTTATTATGTTTTAAGGGGTGGGACATTAGGTATTGCCAATTCACTTTGCTATGCTGTGGTGCTTTACATGTGGGAGGGATCAGAGTGAGGTTGTTGCACTTCCAACCAGTTCAATTTCTTAGCAGTTCTGATTTATTTCTGTTTTTAAATTGGTTGTTATCCTTCATTTGGTTGTGTGAGGAACCTACACCTCCATCATGGCCAGAAGCCCTACATTTATATGAATTGTCCAGAAAAGACAAATGCATAGAGACAGAAAATATATTAATGATTCTCTGTATCTGGGGATGAGATTTAGAACTGACTAGAAATTAATAGGAGAATGTTTCCAGGGTAATAGAAATGTTCTGAAACTGGATTGTGGTGATGTTGAACAACTCTATTACTTTTCTCAAAATAAGTGAACTATATAATTATGGAAAAGGAAGAAGAGTAGGTGGAATCCCTTGGTGCCTGAAGGAAGAGGGGTAAAATGAATACACAGAGAATCAATTAGATGTGGAAAACCAAGAGTGAGGCCCTTCTGAATGTGGGACCTTGTGTGAACGTCCATGAGATTTACTGATATTCAACAAAGATGCAAACAAGTATGTTTCATTTTTAATTTGTGATCCACAGGGTGAGACACATTATAAATTGAGGTTTAATACAAAAATCTGTATATGCAAACCAATTTTTAAATACTTAATATCACAGGATATTTTCTTTTATATTCAATTTACTCTGGTTCATCCCACCCTACCCCATATTATACCATTTCATAAATGTTCCTAATGAGCCCATGAAACTGATTTTATTGACTTAATAATATGTTCAGGTTAACATTTGAAAAACAGCAATCAAGAAGGTAAAAATGATTACTTGAGATCTAAAAATGAAAGCCAAACCAAACCAAACAAACAAAATCTACCACCAATTAAAATCCTAGTAATAACAATGAAAGCTATTCCTCTAGGTCTTCCAAGCGGCCTGGCATTACATGTGGCTCCAAACCCTGCTTACTCACTTCTCTATCATCTCCAAAGACCCACTGAAAAGAATTAGCATAAGATAATGAAAATTGCAATATATCAATTTAGTTTGGAGTTGTGTCACAACTCAATAAAAAAATCAGTGATTTGTTCATATTGTTGAGAGCAGAGTAGAAGGGAAACTTATTTTGAACCCCAAGCAGTAAAGCTGAGATTTTAGATTACAAAAAGAGTACACTTATAAAATGATTTTCCCTGCAACAGTGTCGTTGTCAAGGTAGAGTTTCTGAATCACCATAGTTGAACAAAGTACCTATGTACATCTCTGAAGCAATTTAAATATGGCCTTTCAAAAGCCAAAAATTTAGGTAAAATAAGCAAATATGTAAAATCTATAAAAGAGCAAATCTACATTACTGAATTTTTAAAAATACTCAATTTGAATACTTTGTTTGTTTTAGTTCCTCAAAGTAACAATGGAAGTCTTATACTGTCACATATAAAATTATTACCACAACTTAAAGTAATAGCATGTTTATAGATTTATATATTTACAGACCACAAAGCTCTATTACCACAGTGGACCATTGAACTGAATCATCTTATCCTTTTGAATGTGTTATAACTTTATAATTGATATAAAGTTAATTCAGTCATACTGCTGGATAAACATTCACTTTTGACCTATACAACATCTGCTGAAGCTAAAAGTTTAAACTATGATTATATTCCATATCTATGCATCATAGGTTTTGTCACTTCTTCTGAGTAGTATGTAGTTATTACACTGATCTGTTACTTGAAACTACCCTGCCTCATAAAAAATATTATATTCTGGAAGCAAGTAAGTTCAAAGTAATACTCCTAATTTTTAAAAATTAATCATTTAAACCTATAAAACTAGAATGACTATGTGCAAACATTAAACATTTCTCTCTGAAAAATGATTTCTAAGCAGGGCTTCCTCCTCCTGGCAACCTAGTAAAGAGGGTTTGCTCCCTAGAAATTGTCCACGATGGTTAGTGACATTGCATTACCTGGATGTACTTATGTTCTGCCAGCCCAGCAGGCACTTTGGTAAGATTGTTGTTGTTCAAGTGAAGTTCCCTCAAATGAGGAGTGTTGGCCAGAGAGCCGTTGTCAACAGCAGTGATGTTGTTGAAACCCAGTCCCAACCTATAACAGAAAAGAGGAAACGAGCTTGTACACCACACCTGGGTACCTTCTTACAGACGTGATCTACCAAGTCAATGCAAAAGGGCATTTTTTCATTTTTGCATTTACTCTTCCCTCTGCCTACAGTGCTTTTGTAAACTTGCTGAACCTGGACAAAGTCCATTTGTTCTTAAGGTTTCAGCTTAGAGTTTACCCTCTTTAAAATTTTTCTGACAGTACTAAATTAAATGGAAATGCTTATATATAGCAAGCATCCTGCTGTCACCCTCTGATAACTCAAGGGACTGTGTACCCGTGGGTCTCTCCTTGAGAACAGTGACTGTCTGGTAGTATATGTGGTACTAACACAGAGCTTGACATAACCAATGAATAGCTGTTGAATTGATTTCTACATATAATGAATATAATAGATACATTTGGGAAAAAATAAAAAGAACACTATTATTGGTTTGGTTACATTAGAAATTAAGCAATTGTATGTTTATGGCATAGATTTATTATTGGAAATAAAAGGTATAAGATTGTAATGAGTCAATAAGCTTACCTTCCAGAACACTCACCAAAATTACTATCTCCCACTACTTTGAAAGAGTGAATGACCATCTATTACTATCTGAATGGACCAGGTACTGACATCCCTAGTTTCTGACCCTCATCTCTGATCTACATCTCTAGGGATGAGGCAAGAAGATTTTGGAAGAGACCCAGAAAGCTGCAAGTGAGAGAAAGAATCTACTGGGTTTCTTCAAATGCAGTGAAAGAGACTAGGGCATGTTTTATAGGTTCCTTCTTGTCTTTAGCTAGTTATGACATTTGGACCCTTTTAACATTTAGATTCTGGCTAAATTTTAAGCATGACTTGTTATTTGAAATAACTGAGATTAAGGTGTACTGATTTTAGGGAATTAATAGCACAGTTAGTTTATTTTAGCTTTAGATTCTTAACCTAGAAACTTAGCTCAGAATATTTTTGTTTTCCCTTGTCTTAGGCATTTTTCTCTTGTTTCCAGACTTCCCTGTTGTTGTTTTTTTTTTTTGAATTTCAGAATCATGTCTCCTATTTTTTACTACACTTCAAGTCCTACATCTATTTTGGGCTAACACATTTCTTAGAATATAATATTCCTAATAATTTATTCAAGGAAGCTTGATGTTTAAATAATTTATTTATAGATTCAAGAACTTAGTATGGGTAAGACATTATCCTAGGCTTGTGAGGCAGTTGGCACATGGCTCAAACCCCCACAATTCTTTCCATTGAAGAATAAGGAGAGATGACCATATAATGATATGTATTTTGATATATATGGTGGTATGTGTGTATGTATAAGAAAAGGGAAGTTTGCCTGATAATTGTTTTTGCAGGTGAACATACACACTTTTCTCCCCCACTGTCCCCAGTCACCAGTTGGAATATGTGCCCGGCAGCAAGGACCTGAGATCAGTGGCTGCTTTCCCCCCGTTTTCACAGTTTGGATATTTCAGCACCAAAATAATTCTCCTGTACCAACATCGGTAAGGAACAAGCAGCACAAGATTTTAAAAGGTAATAGACAATTTTTTTCCTGAATTTGATTCCAAAAAGAAATGTGTTTGATAAATTCAAGAGTTAGCAAAGTTTGCTTGGTCAGTGAGGCTCAAATCTATTTACCCAGCAATCCTCAGTTCTATTAACCTGTAAAAGTTTACTAGTTCTTTATGCTTCTTTCTATTTAATGCCAGCATATAACATTAGTATTAAAGTATAGAATTTCAAGATATCCGTATCATTTTCAGTACAGAAGTTTTTTTTTTACTAAAAAGGCACAAATATTATGAATGACCTATGACATTCAGAATGTTATGCTATTGTTCACTCTTACCCTCACTGCTCTAAGCAATGACCCAGCACTAACTGCTGTCCTAAAGACACTTCACACAAGCAATGCAGCTTAGTTTCCAACACTTCTCTGCAGCTCCAGGGACTGAATCAACAAAGAAAGGTGGGTGCTGCATAATACTATTTTGAAAAATATTTTCTACATTAGAAGCTGAAAGTAAATAGCTTCAGATAAAGGATTTCTTATCTCTGTGACACACCAGGGTAATGCTCTGTAGCTGTTGCCATGGGCGTGTACTCATCTCCGGCTCTCACCACCCCTGGGTTATGGAGAAATAGCCACAAGTGGGGAAAGCTGCATGATGTACCCAATTGGGCATAGATGCTTTTCAAAGATGAACTGAATATTTTGTATTTACTTATCTACCATGAAATTTATATACAAAGAGATGAGGAGCCCATTTGACAGCACAGCACACTCCTCTGTAAAAACACTCAATAGTACTGGTGGATCACACACAAAGTGTTCCTTAAAGACAACTGAAATAGTTTTCCAGAACTCTCCTCCTCTTATTACTTAACCAGACTGTAAATATAAGAATATTATAGTTAGGCTAGAAAGAAAGACAGGAACTAGTGATCATCTATTGGGGTGGGAGGAGTGAAGGGCCAGACATTTTTAAAATCTTTTTTATACTACATGAAGTATCTAGGGACATTTTAAATTCCTCTGAATAAGAATTAGAAAATCTCATCATAACTGTTCTAACTCTATAAATGGTATGGAATGTCCAATATTTCCATATCCTGGTAGCTTTTATTTTAATGGATTTTCAAACTCTGGACACTGTGTTATGATTTGCTAAACTTCTGTTCAATGCAAGTTAGAACATAATGAGCATACTGATTTAAATACTTTGTAATAAGATATACTAGAATCTAATGACATAGGGTATTCATAAAATAGGAAGTTGATTTGGTAGTTATAGTAAGTATACTATTTCACTAGATTTTTTTAAAGAAATAATTGGGCTAGCTGAAGTCTGAGGTTGTTATAAATAGCAACAAAGATGTGGTGCATTAAAAAGAATCAATCATGTTTCTAATTCTGAGCATGTAGGAACTAATATACCTAGCCATTTTGCTGATAGAATTTTACTGATAGAATTTCATGAGAGATTATTACTTAGCCAAATTGTTCAGTCCTTTCAGGCTAGCTGCATCAACTTTGGTGATTTTGTTGCCATCCAGATGTAATTCGGTAAGGGAAGGAGGGAGACCTAGAATATGGATACAAAAAGTTAAGTTAGCAGATAAACATAATTACAGAATGTAGAAGTATATAATGATGACAAAAGCCACTTTCTAAAAGACAATAGTTCCAAATGATTTGCTTTTCATCTTGTTTATCAGTTTTGCTTTTCTTCATTTTTCTTCATCCTATTTATAATCATATGCGTTCTTGGAAGTAGTGTGAGAACTTTTTTACTTTTTCTCCTAGATTGAGTTTAACAAAAATATGGATTGTGCTTAACAAATAGTAGATTTTCCACCCTAGGAATTGTTAGGGTACAATTATAGAACTGCAATGAAACCCTGAATCTCATTAGGTATTTACACTTTTTTTAATGGGATAACACCATTATTCTTAAAAATATTTTATTCATTTATTTTTAGAGAGGAAGTGAGAGAGAAACGGAGAAAAACATCAATGTGTGGTTGCCTCCTGGGGACCTGGCCAGCAACCCAGGTATGTGCCCCGACAGGATATCGAACCAGCGACCCCTTGCTTCACAGGCTGGCCCTCAATCCATTGAGCCACACTGGCTAGGGTTAACACTGTTATTGACAAAATATAATAACTCTAAAATGAAGAGATGATTAGTTGAACTATAATACAGAGATAATATATAAGTTAACTAGGTATTTGATCATTAAAAATTAACACTGATATACTGGCTTAGTCTTAATCTAACTTTTCCATAAAAATATCAAATGCCTCTCTGCAGCATAGGTACATGGGAGAACTAAAGCTTCTTGGGACTCTTTAATAAAGACTGTTTCTTTGCACAAGCCGAGTGTAGAGGCCCACGATCAAGTGATCTGCCCTATGCAGAGCACCTGGGAAAACACTGCTGATCCAAAGGATCCACAAAACCTCTGCCTACTACTGCTTGAATGGCTAAGATTTCTAATAATTCAGTAATGTCGATGGAAAACTTTAGCTATTTTATTTTCATTTCCTTCTGCCATCTGAGGAGGTATTATATTTTAATACATTTTTTATCTTCTAAATGGAGCATATTGTTCCACTTAGAAGAATAGCAACAACTACAAAGAAAACTGCAAATTGGTTACATGTAGAACTAACATCTGCTTAGCAGGAAGTGTCGGTTATTTGTCCATTAAAAACATAACTGGAAAATTACAGGTTATGTTTGGTCTAAAATTTTCATTGAATCTCACTGAATTCTGTCAAGAGTGTCTATCTACCATAAAAGTTTAGTCTATATTTGATTTGGAAGTGACAATTAGTTTCTCTGTTTATGTGGGAGATGCTAAGGGAAGGGTCTGCTCATTAAATGTCTGTTTTGTGCCAAACTCTGAAATTAGCATTTTCCTAAATTAGCTCGTTTATTTTTTTCATTGGTTAAATTATTTTTATTTATTCCACTTCATCATCTATGATGATGATCTGTGCTTCCTGATGAGGAAACAAATGTTGTAGATTATTGAGATAGTAAGTAGAGAATATAATAAGTTTCCAGATGGCCAAAAGGAGTTAAAATACCATGCTCTAAACTGAAGGAAATGAAATGGAAATTGCATTATTCTCATGAATAAATAACAGGAAATCCCAATCACTCTTGGAATAAGGAATTTCAACCACTTGAATTTGCTTAGAATAAATGCATGTGGATTTGTAAACTATTTCTATGAGTAAAACAAATGAATATATATACATGTATATACACACATATGTATGCATATCTATAACAATGAATGCAACTCTAGAAAATTTTTAAATTGTGCGTATATAGGGTCTGGCACAATTAGCGCTCCTTTTTTATAACAAAAGCATAAGCATGTAATTCAGTAACATAACAATATCTCACTCAAGCACACCATCAACATTTTAGGTGAAATGTTCAAATTAAAACCATAAATGGTTACATCCACATTATTACCCTACTGACCACACTCCAGCAGGCGCGACTTCTGCTGTACCCTCTATTTTCTACCCTCTCGCCATGAAAAGATGTTTCTGAGGGTTAGTGTGCCTAGAACACCAAGCATCATCACATCTGTCATTCTTACCTAGTTTTGAAGTGTCTCCCTTTTGGGCGGGTCAGTTTCCCGGAAGGAAAGTATAGTCAGGAGGAAGTTTGTGGAAGAAAGCTTTGCATAGGTCAGAGGAGTCAAAGTAACAGCAAACATCATCAGCCTTTGGCACTGCAGCATTTAGCCAAAAAACCTATAGTTACCTTTTCTCCTTCTTCCATTTTAAGACAAAATATACTGACAGCTTACTTTAGGCCAAATGCCATGCATGTGCATTACAAGTATTACATCTAGTTATTCTCACAAGAACCTGAAAACAGGTGTCCCTGATGTGTCCACTTCACAGGTAACAAAAGGGAGGTTTCAGAGATGTGGACCAAACAGCCTGAAGTCAAAGAGCAACTGAAAGGCTGACAGACCTCTCACTCAGGTTAGTCTAACTCAAGTGTAAATTTGTAATCTCTCCATTTTATTCTACTGCAACAGTAATGGAAGGTAACGTGCAGAAATTAAGGCTCCTTGAAAACAGGTGATGTTCAGGCAGAAGGGTCCCAGACTAAGAACGCAGACTCTGACATCAGATATGAATGAATATGCAAGGAGTAAGGCCTTGATGGGACGCAGAGCAAAATGGCAAGCACAGGTGCTCTGAGGTCAGCCCAGCACAACCCCCACTCTGCCACTTCCCTGCTCCAAGACTTCGATCGCAATTTAAGCCCCATTCTCCTCATTTGTAAAACATGTCTAATGATGTTACTTACAGAGGATTGTTTCCAGATTCATTTAACAATCCATGAGAAGCAATTGACACACATAACAGAACCCATGAAAGGTATTCAGTACACGTACTGAATGAAATTTCTTTACCGTAATTTTAATATTATTATTTATTAAATAAAAACAAGCTAGAAATGATAGGAGCACTGAGGGTAGAGAAAGGATATAAGAGAGTCTAGAAAAACCTCTCACTAAGTGATAAAATGTATTACTGAGGAATATTTGGGAAGATACATTAAGGAGAGAAAAATCAAAGATTGTTTTTTTAATGCAAGCCATCTGGCAGCATGAAGCAGTGGAAGGATCTGGACAGTAAATTCCAGTAACTTTACTTCACCTCCTACAGCTCTCTAAGGTACATATACATATACATATATATCACTTATAATATAGTTTATATTATGTTGTATAGCATACAACATAAACTATATAGCATATGAATATATAAATATATTAAATATATATAATCCCTGCACTGGGGATAAAAACATCACTTATTACGTGCAACAAGTCACAGTGTCAATATGAATGTGCTTTCTGAACTGGAAATCAATCTCCCTTCTCTATGGATCTCTCTGTCTACACCAATAGTTGCCATTATGAGTCAACAATATCTTCCATAGTAAAAGAAGACTGTGGAGAGGGTGAGGAGTGGTAAGAAACCATTCTATGGAATATGTACTCTCAAAAGTTTAAGTTTTTATAGAAGCACAATAAAGGGTCATTGTTTTCTGTGAGAAAGTAGCTGCCTTTTCCACTCAGTCTAAGAATAAGACATATACAAATGGAGAAGGGGCAGATTGAAAGTAAAATTTGAGAATATAGAGGGTTTTTTTTGTGTGAGACTGAAGAACCTAAGACAGTGACAATGGGAAAATTATAAGAACTGATTTTTGGTGATTTGATGTCTTTCCTGGTTCATGAAGACTGACTTATGTGCCTCTTGTGGGTAGCTCTTCATACAGTGAGCTTACCCCCAGGACGGAGCCGTGATTACTGTTGAACTGTTGTGCTTTGCTCAGGCAATAAGCTCCCTGAGGGCAGGTAGTATATCCTATCCACTGTCCTGTCTCCTGTGTTTGGGACTTTGCCTAAGCAAAATAAACGTTTAAAGCATTTAAAATGAACTACGTAAGGTAATATTAATCCACCACTTATCTATATACCAGATATTCCTCTAGTTATTTGCTTCATTTTAAAACACCCCAGTGAGGTGGTTATTAATATTATTTTCACTTCAAAAATAAAGAAATTGATTTTGATAACTTCCAATTAGTGACAATTGGAAATTAAGCAAACAGACTCCAAAACCCACACTCTTTATAAAAACAACCATTTCTATTCGAATAAGAATGTGGTTACCATGGATCCTCTTACTCAAAGAGTATTAACTGGAAAATCCTCAAATGGAAAAAAATTCATTAAGTGATTAGGGACTCAAAGAAAAAAATGGTTCAATTTCAGAGGTACTTCCATGTATCTAACTCTCTTTTAACAAAGTACCACTAAGGCACTCTGTTTCTTAAAATTACTATGCTTTTATCTTTGTGAAGTCACAATGCTATTATGTGAAATCACTGTGCATTGAGTTAGTTACATCTTAGAAGAGACTTTATAGGTAAAAGAGCTATCTCTACAATGAGCCTAGTTGGCCAAGCGGTCAGCCAGGCTCAGTAGAAACACTTGCAGGATTAGAGAATTTACTAGAAATGAAGTTGGCTACTTGAGTCATCATTCAGGTTTACAAAAAAAATCCTTTTAAAGTATGAAGGTCTTTGAATTTAGATTTTCAAGCTGCTTTGGAGAATTTGCCATCACCTTGAGGGATGGAGGTGATATTGGTGTCAGCAATGCGGATGTAAGAGAGCTTCTTCATTCCCTGGAAGGCTCCGTTATCAATTCCTGAGCTCTTCAGTGGATTGGTGCCCAGTTCTGCAAAGGCAGTAAATGCAGAGCTTTTAGAAGACAATTTTAGGACATTGCATGTCAGAGTAGTGTTTATCTCAACAAAGAATTAAACAGAAATTTGGTTCAATAGCATCTTTACTGAAGAACAAACGAGAAATTAAAGCAATGCTCCTCAAAGGGATTGCAAAATGTGGTAATAATGCTCCTTCATAAAATGAACAACAAATAACAAAAAATACACAAACATTTATAAAATAGTAATAGTATCAAAAACAATAACAACAAAATTATTTAAGGTAGATACCCAACTTTGTCCAGAAATCAACAAAATCAGGATTTGCATATTATACTTATAATGGGACTATTACTTTCCTAAAATACATTAAAATGTTGTTACATAATTTGAATCTAACACTGGTAGGCCAATTATAAAATTCTAATTTTGTCATGCAGAGTGCAAAATATTAGAACACATTTTTAAAGCAAATAGTTTATAGATATTCCAGATAAAACTAATTCCTACATGAAAATGTATCCTCAAATATTTCTAATTAAGCCCTACTTAATTACATCCTACATGTTGGACATGCAGTAGGGTAACTTCAGCTCTAGAGCTTTCTCTATATTCTTAGAATCCCTAGGATGAGAAATAGAAATGCTGTAGAAAGGCACAAATTCGAAATCCCACTTCTCTTGGCCCTGCTCCTGCCATTCTCCTAGGCTTAAGACATGGTAATTTACATTCCTGCAGCTAAAGCTTAACTTGAAATCTCCTAAGGTGAAACTTGAATCCTGGTCTTAGAGTCATATGAATATGTGTACCTATGACGATCATCTGGTTCAGTCCATTGAACACAGATTTCCGCACTTTGGTGATCTCGTTCTCATGGGCACGCAGCTCCTGAAGAGTTTTGGGCATTTTCTCTGGCAATTCCTTCAGCTGATTCTTAGACAGATAGAGTCGTTCCAATTTCACCAAAGGTAAAAATGCTCCGGGGCTGATTTTGCTAATTTTGTTGTTGACCAGAATCAATGCCTGTGGATAGGGAATAAAATAACCTTCTGTTAATTCCAAAACCTTCCACACATGTAAAAAATGAGTGGGCAGTCTGTTCATTCATTGATGAAGCTAGCAGAGAAACAGGCAGGGTTGTAAGAAATCAGTAAATATCAATCAGACATGACTCCTTTAAGAAGTATATGAAGAACTCCACATCAGGAATAAAAAGGAAGGAAATATAATGAAATATATCTATTTATATCAGGTCAGCCAAAAAGTGCATTTATTTTCATCCATATAATAAAAGACATAATTAAAAAAAATTGTCACCAATAACTTTATTGTTTGGATAGTTTGAATATGTCATCTATCTCCTGCTATAGATTTCCACTGGGTAGAAGCCTGGGGAGCTGCTAAACATCTTCCAGTGCATAAGACAAATCCGCAAAGAATCATTTGGTCAAAATGTCCATAGTACTGAGAAACTTCACAAATCACATTTGGCATATTCGATCAGTGACAGCACCTTCTCCATACACTGCACAAATCTTGTGTGTGTGTGTTTGTATATTTCTTAAAGTAATCAAGCATAATATACCAAAAATTTTGCATATTTTCTTACATCTTCAGTACTAAAATGGCTGCACAAAAATTCACCAATTTTCAAGATTTTTAAAAAAATGCATGCTGATATAACAGCTGTCACAGTACAATATAACGAAATTATATTGGATGAAGTTAATGGCAACTATGCATTATTAGAGTCATCATATTGAAAAAAATTAAACAAAATTTTTGGCCACCCAAATATAACATTAAACAATATATAATATTCCTGACAACTGAAATTTCTGGAGTGACCCATGACACCTGAAAAGGCACCCATCCGCTCTCCAGTTTTCCAGCCTCTTAGTCCACTGCCCTGACCTCTGTCGCAGGTCCTGCTGCGAGAGGCAGGCACCACCTGATACTCTCACCAGCAGTGCAAGATGGAAGTGTTTTCTTGAAGCCTCAAAAATTTAAATGATTTGTTTCAAAACGTTGCCAAATTAGTATATTATGTTGTGGCGTATTGCTTTATTTTGCATTTTTTTGTTGTTTGAAAAACTTTAAAAATTTTTTCTGTTCATTTTATTGTGATTTACTATAATTTTTGAAGGGAAGGATTTGCCTGATCACAATACTTCTAATTTCTATTAAATTTTTGTAATTGGTTAAAAAAATTTTACTAATTGGTTAAGAAAAATAAAGTAATTGGTTAAGAAAAATAAATTTTAGTAATTGATTAAGAAAAATAAAGATATAGTTAATATGATATTCAGAACCTAAAAATATTTTTTCTATTCTCTTGCCCCTTTTACATATAATGGTTTTATATAGCTAAGTATATTAATTTTTTGGCAACTTTTAAAATGTTTGTTTTCGGAGTTGTCCTTATATGGGTAATTACTTATCATTCATTACTGCCATTTCTATAGCTATTGCCGAACCTATCTTTGGACTACTTCATTGTCTTCCAATGATCTGTATGTCTACAGAACCACACCAGTCTTATTTTAAATATTTTGTCAATTCTAATTAACAAGATAATTTTTATCAAGTTTTTAAAAACTTGCATTTTTCAACTATAGTAACATTTATGCATCTATGAAAACAGAGGGCCAAAAAAGGAAACTAGAATAACAACAGAAGAGGGGTAACTTCTCAGAGATGCAGGAATAATTTTCAGAGTAACAGCTGGTTAATTAAATCATGTACATCCTCATGTAGTTGACATTATTTAATTAATGAATACTTGTTACAATAACAAGATTTTTATCTAATTCTAAACTATGCATTGGTAATCGAAACAAAACCCTAAAAAATTCTAATGAAGAGTACAGAAAGTCATCAGGGTTTATAAGTCATACAACATTTATATTAACAAACAAAATGCCCAAGAAATCAGTATAAGCCAGAACCAGAGGTTCAGAGGACTTGCATCATCAAAAGACATCCCAAATAGTGGAAGTTTACTTTTAAATACAAAGGAGATCCTCAAATTCTGAAATCTTGATATAATTAAACTCATTAAACATGGTTTGAAAATCTATTTTATTTCATGTTAAGTGTTAAAAACTATTGATAAAGAATCAACCTGAGGATGCATTACCTGCTATTCCAGGTAATAAAATATTATCTCTTTGACTGGTTAATAACTAGATGATGCCGGTGCCTGTGAGTACGCTGTAGTAATGACTGCTGATGATTTTGGGGTAGTATGATATTTGCCTCCAATTGTTTCTTCAGTAACGTGGGAATAATAAGAGCACCTAAAAGGGTTGTTGTGAGGATTAAAAATTACAATAGACTGCTCCTTTGCTAAGTGCCTTTCAAATATTATTGTTTGTTGAAAGTTTTAGTCCAGTGAAAACCATCTCTGCTTTCAGAATAAAACAGATTTGAGAAATAAAACTGAAAATTTTGGCCATAATAAGGTAAATTTTAAGGGCTATGTAAATTAAAGTGTCACCTAAAACAGATTCACACATGAGAAAGTTATTCGTGTATACACACTATTGTTAAAGACAGTTGATGTTAGCTCTGTACAGGGGGATATGTATTTAAGAAAGTTGTACTTATACAGTAACAGGCAACGGCAAAATGTTGAGATGGAAAAAAAACTGACTAATTACAGTGGCTAATGAGAAAGTCCAGAGTGAAGAAAAAGTAAAAGACAAACTCCAGGTGTTCTTCCAGAGACCACCTCACCTAAGGTAAAAAAGAAAAACAAGCAGAAATGGATTATCTTTAGTTAGCTAAGGGGCCGAGAGAACTGGATTAGAAGAGAAAGTGTTGCTTGGGAATGAGAAGGGCCTTGAATGCCATTTAATCTAAAATTGAAGCACAGACTTAAAATCAGGACAACCTACTTCTTAGGTAAACTACAAAAAAGTGATCAAACCTGGGAGGCAGGGAAAGGTGACGAAAGGATGACAAGCAACAGAAAGAGGTGGAAGCAGGAGTGAAAGCACTTTCCCCACCTACATCCAAGAAAGGAGTAAAAGGTACAAAACTTCTGGTTATAGGACAAATAACTATTTTAGATGTATTGTACAACATGGTGACTTTAGTTAACACTACTGTGTGGTATATTTGAGAGTGCTAAGAGAGTAAATCTTAAAATTTCTCATCATAATGGAAAACCTTTTAATATCTGAGATGATGGATGTTAACTAATCTCATTGTGGTAATTATTTTTCAATATGTATAAGTTAATTAATTCTTTATGGTACATACCTTATGATTATACAGTAATGTAGGTAAATTATATTTTAATAAAGCTGAAAGAAAAAAATATAGAAAACTGAACTGAAATGCAAAATTTTCTCCAAAGGCACTTATGTACAGCTTACACTGTACCAGGTGTTGTTTTAAAGAATTGTATGGTGGCTATCAAATTTATAGGAAATTATTGGTGCACATATTCAAGCTAGACTGCTCCTGAGTTTAGATCTCAAGTTTCCGCTCTTATTGGCCCTGTGGCTACGGCCAAGTAACTCCATTTCTCGGTGTCTGAGTGGCCTCATCTGAATAAAGGGGTTATCAAGACTGTATACTTTATAAGAATAGTTACTAGAATTAAGTGAGTTAAGGCGTATACGGTATTAAGAACAGTGCCTAGTTTATAGTAATTGTTAAACAAATGTCTTTATAATTCAATCTTTGACAATTTTCATTTTTAACTTAAAAATTCCTTACTAGATTTTAAGTTTCAATAAAAAGTATTGAATATCAACATGAAATTTTCTATTATTTTATAGAACAAGTATATAGTTTTTCTACTACATATAACTACTCATACAACGTGTACCACTCATATGGAACCACAGAGTTGTAAATTGATCGAATTATTGAGGAAATAAATAGGCATTTTTCTGTTAAATCCTTTTCATTTTAACCCTCATTACATTTTAATTTATTTCCTTCCTTCTCTTTCCAGTGAGGCTTTCCTGGCTGAAATTATGATGTTTATTTGCATAATAACAAGGATAGAAATGATCATGAATGAAAGACTTAGAGAAAAGTGGCCACTTAGCATCCTCTGAATAGTTGGAAGCTCTAATAAAGTCTCTCTCGTCTTCCAATGTGTACTTTCAAGTAGAAAGAAAGAGATTGCCAAGAAGATAATTGCCTAAAAACATACTTAGATGGAGACGTGGAAAATAAAGAACACATTATTATAAATGCCAGACTTAATGAGAACATAGAAACAAAATACCTCTTATTTCAGGATATGAGGAATTTAAACAAATTATTTGGATTATACATAAATACACAGGAAGTAGGGATTAGGGGAAGAAATTTTTTCTTTCTTAAAAAAGTAGCTTTCTCATGAAAATAAAATAAAGTTTTCCAATGTTTTAGTTTATTGAAACAAATAATATTCCACTTTTAGTATTATTCTTTTTAGCTTATTCCAATGACAGTTTAAACACTCACTGAAAACCCTGTTGGTAGCAAGGTGGGCGTGCTCCCAGTAAAGCAGTCACGTGAAAGCAGAGTGAGCTCCGGGCTTAAGCCCCGAACTGGCCAGTGGAGATGGACCCGGGGGGCCATGGTTTGAGATCTCTAGCTCAGACTTTATCCTCTACTGTCTGGAGCCTGGATCTTTCACCCAAGGCAGTTTCTATTTATATTTGTCTGCTTCTTATTGTCTTCTACATTTCCTCCCTTCTTGCAGAGAAAACCCTCTTCTCTTGAAAATTCTGCTAATATTCTGAGACTTCTTTGCTCCATATTTTCTCAAAACACTAACTGGTAACCTGATTTAAAGTGATGCCTGATTTTTCTCTTACTTGATGCTCTTAACATTCACTACTGATATCCAACAGTATACTGCTGGACCCTTCAAGAGGTTGACTACACAACTTTATAAGTGCTACTATTTTAATTAACAGTTCAATGGGGAAACTTAAAATCTTAAGAAAAAAGATATATGCTTCCCTTTAAAATTCTCCTAATGGATACATGTTTATTGCTTTTCTCCTCTTAGCTGTCGAAAAGTTGATTACTACATGTTGTTCTCATTATATGAACTCTGTAGCATATTATGGTCAATTTATTCACTTTACATTACATTATTTCCCTTGAACACACACTTCTTATTCTAATAGATAGCAGCCAGACTATTTTTACATTTATACTTTACTGTGTATTGTTTATATAACTTCTCAGTTAATTTTTATAGTGGTTAAAAGAAATAAATGAATATGAAAATAGAGTTTTCTATGTTTATAAACCTTACAAGTGTTTTTCTATAATATTCATCCCCACAAATAGGTAACTGATCACTAGGAAATCCTCTACATTATTTGAAAATTCTAACTCTTTATATTGTTATTTTTAATGTTGAACAAAAGTCTGCATCTCTGAAATTCCACTCAATTGTTAATAGGACAATTCTGTCATCTTGTAGTTGAAGCAAAAATATTCTCTTCTCTAACATGGCCCTTGGAATATATCACTCATGACCTTTTTGCATGCACTTTAGATAACCACATCTCCATAAGCCGTCCTTCCCATAAAGACATGGTTTCCAGATACTTTACAGCCATGATGGTCATTCTTTGAACATTTGGAGGTTAATGTCCTTCCTAAAATGTCTTGTCCAGGACCAGACTCAATATTTTAAGAGAGGCTTATCAGAATAGGGTACAGAGAGAGCGAGATGTTTAGTATTTATTTGGACATTGAAATCTGGCTTAGTAACACTAAATGCACAATGATATTTTGATAGAAAATCACAGGTGAAGAAGTGGACTAGATAACAAATTTTATAGGAATTCGGATGCCTTATGTGAACAGATAGTTCATGTACACTTATAGAAGGCTACCTTAGCGAGGCTTAAACCTATCTGATTAGGTTGATCATTTCTCATTTTTAATGTACCTCTCCGAAATGCGGTTATATTCATCCTTTGCCCTTTTTGACCTTTGCCTATGTCTTGGAAAGCTGAGCTCTGGTGACTTCATCACCCATATGCCTTTGTCCTCTGGCCTCCAGTTAGGTTCAACCATAGAAGATGCTGGCAAAAAGGAAATCAGGAGATGGGACTATAGCTCCCCACCTCTCTCAAGGCTCTGGGACTCCCTAGTTCCTTGAAGCCTCACAGGCTTGAGTGACTCACAAAACCTTCTTGGTTCTCATACCCCTTTGTGAAGAGTCATTTTAGTAATGCTTCCTCTGTGAAACCCTTTTGAGAATGCCATCTTTTTCCTGCTGAAATCCTGATTGGTAGACTAGATGTGTTGTCATATACCAGAATAGAGTTAAATCATAGTAATAACACAGATACAGATAAGAATGCAGTATGCATAATCCAAAATAAAAAGCAATATGTGTGTGCGTGTGTATATATATATACATATGTATATACATAGATATATTTGAAGATGGAATTATATTTGCTAAATAAAATATAAATATTACCCCTTTTTCTCTTGGTGTCAATCTATAAGCCTTTCCAAAGTAATTTGTACTTCTTAGAATATGAATAAATTAAAACAAAAGAAACAAGGAAATAAAATAATACTGAAATTGGTTCATTTTGTTTCACGACTGAAGTACAATATAATTGGGAAGATAAAGACTTTTAGTCATGAAACATGAGATTAAGATTTAAAGTAATTTTAAGAAACAAACACTAAATATATATGCAGTACATGTAAAAAATTTGGCTGATTTTTAGGAGTTAATGACTATGATGATTTGCTTCCCCTCACCTCCTAAAAATTGAATAAAAATGTAGGTGCTTATTTATTACCATAAAGTATTCCTGGCCATACCTAACTTTTGTTTTGAAAAATACTTTGAGTCAGATCTTGTTACGACTCAAAAATTTAAAAAAAAAGAAAACAAAATTCTTACATGAAGGTTCTTCAGGTCCTTAAAGTCCCCATCTTTGATTTCGGTTATCTTATTGTTCTGCAGGTCCAGCAGTGTAGTGTCGGGGGGAAGCTCTTTCGGTACTCTGTCCAGACCTAGTACGGAAATAAAAGCAATGTCGAGTCAGTGTGAAGGGACACATTACTACAGAATGATAAAGGGTGTGTTTACATACAAATTACGCTGGCAGTGAAAGCTTTACAAGTAGCATATTTTCTTCTAGGAATTATGTTAGTCATAGTTTAAAATACCTGCTTTACTTTTTCCAACCAAGTCAAAGGATTTTTTTTTTTTTTGTAAACAGAACACATTTTTTTTATTATGCAATTACTCTTCTTTAAAAAATAAAACTGTATATTTTGTAAAGGGCATGGCTCAAATAATCTGTACACAGTATATTCTACCTCATTCCTGTTTAAAAAGGCATTTGTTTAATAAGTGTTAAGTGCAAGTTATTTGTAAATCTATAGCTTTTCACATAAATATATTGTCAGTAGAAAAGCCAAGTTATCAGTTAAAAATCTTTTTGATAAATGTAATACTTTCACAAGTCTACATTTAAGATTAAAATTATATAAGCATGCAACCATTTTATTATATCAACAACTTAAATAATTTATCCAAACTTTTGGGATTTCTTTCAATTCTAATTGAATACCAAAATACTATCAATTTTAGTTGATACTTTATGACTGATGGATATGTGGCTAGTTAGAATAAAATGAACTGAAAACCCTTTGGCTTGTCTAAATCATCAATGTGAAGTGTTTCCTTTGCACATTAAATTTTGGTCTAAATAACTGAGCTATGGCTGTAGTTTATAAACATAAACATATTGAATAAAATATTCTTTGGTATTAAAACATATTTTTTTAACTAGAAGTATAAGGATGAGCTGTTTTACTCAAAAGAAATGGCATTTAAAATAAGTCATCATTTTGAATGCTAATGGAGAAAAATATTAAATTATGTATTTGCCTTTCTTACATTTTTTGTTCCATATCAATGAAGGATATTAGTTAAAATTTGAGATTCTACAATATTAACATGAAACTCATGTGATAGTTTCTGCACTTTAAAATTGTATAACATCAATCAGAAATGTTTTTCGACCTTTCCATCGTATCTGAAACTTGAAGTATTGAACATCATGCTTTCATTTATTCAACGATGCTTTATTGAACACCTCCTAGACGCCATCAATTTATTAGGCACTGGGGATAGAGCAGGAACAAGACAAAAATTGCCCCCATCATCATGGAAAATATAATTCAATGTATAGTTTTCAATTTTTAAAAAGTTGCAACAGGGTAGATAGTAACTGCAATGTCCGGAAGAAGATATATTTCCAATTTTGAACCTTATGTAGGGCATACTGGTAAATCATCAGAGTAGCCATATTTTATCTTCATATCTTCCGTGAAAATTACAGAAAATGGACCTGAAATCACCTGCTCTGAAAAAAAGTCTAATTCTCAATTCATTGATCAACAGTTGTTTTAAACATGAATATTAGAATACAGGTGATTCTAAACATGCATAAATTATATTCCAAGAAATCACAGAAACAGTTCATTGAGAAATGACAAGACTGAACTGCTTTTGGCGACAGACGGCAAACCGCCAGAGCAGGCAGCCACCCCGGGGGGGGGGGGGCTACTCCACTGTGCTGCGCTGCGATTGGTGCCATTTTCAGAAATGTCACTTTGCTGATTTCATGCAATTAGGAGTGGTAGGTAGACTTCTGCCAAATCGTCGGCTGATAATTACTGTTCTCTAAGCAAGAAAAGGCAATTCTTTTCATTTCAACAGAAGTTACTGCCTACCTTTCATCATTACTCCATAGGCATCTTTGTCAAAGTGTTAACTGGGGATCTCACCTGCGACCCAGGCTTGTGCCCTGACTGGGAATTGAACCGACGACCCTTTGGTTCGCAGGCCGGCGTTCAATCCACGGAGCCACAGCATCCAGGGCCTTTTATATGTTGTTGGACTTAAATTCTAATGGCTCTCTTAACATTTGTTCAATGCAACTAATTTTTAGATGTTAAGGGGAAAAAATGGTATATTTGGATGGCTGACAATTTTGATTACATTGCCATCCTAGATTTTTAAAAACATGACATGCTTAGGGTAAATCAAAATCTTTTTCCTGAAGACTTATTATAAAAACATCTTTAGGCTTGTGATTTTTGTAATTTAGTTCTTTGAAAGATATTTTTTATGATCAAATCATAATCCTACAATCTTCTCTGAAATTCTAGTTACTTCATACCTATTTGGGGTATGTTACATATCATTATTCTATTATTAAAACTTTATGTAGCTTTATAGTTTATAAAGATAACAATAAATATGTTATTGTATTGATCTTACAGCAATTCAGTGAGATGGGTAAGGCACCATGAGCATTTCATTTTCCAGATAACTTTTAGAAAGGGTTAATAAATGAACAAGTTCACACAGCCAGGGTGACAAAAATGCAGACCAGACGAAAATTCTGCTGGTTTCCAGCTAAAAGTTTTCAGCTGGAACAGCGTTCCAGCTGGAACAGAGCTCTGCCTGTGTGTACCCCAACAAGAATCATTTTGACAGCAGACTCAGTAGCATGGCCGCACATTTAAGGGCCAGACAGAGCATCTGGGTGTTAGTGAACTAGCTTGCTTGACAACTATAGGCGGAGTATGACAGGGAGATTATGCCAGTTGTAAGTTCTTAGAATGTTATAAAAGGAAGGACCATTAAATATCAGCTAGTCTGTGGCTCCCAAATGCTGATCAGACACAGACTCCATGATGAGGTTCTTATCAGACTATATCAAAATCAGAAGAAAATAAAGGCAATCTGGTTAGTTTTAATATAAACCGTGGAACACACACAACAGAGACACATGCACACACACTGCCTTGGTTTTAAACATGCCTTCTTTAAAAAAAAGTTCTAATAGCAGATGGCAGGTTGTTGTTATTTTGTTGGATGTTTTACTTTAATAAAAAATGAACTTGTTCAACATTCAAAAAAAATTTACTTGTCCCAGAAATCAGGAACTTCGAAGCTAGTCCAACAATCTCTTTTTATAAGTAAAAAACCAGAAACTCAATGAAGTTAAATGGCGTACCTGAGGCAGCTCAGAGCTACACTAGACCAAGACTAGGGTGTTATGTATCCTCACTCCAGAACAACCCATTGTGCCATCTATGCATGTAAATATTCTGGATGTTTTAAAGGTGCCAGTCAATGATTTCTCTCAAACATACTGTGCTTATTCCTAGATACTCCTTTTTTTCATATACCACGTGTATGGAATATGCCACCCACTCATTTCCTTTTGCTTCCATTCTAACAATCTTTTAAGGCATACTCATTTTCCTCCCTTGTAATATTCATCCTAGCCAGCCCAGATAATGATGACCTCCGCCCTCCAAACTCCTTATGTATAAGCTTCTGATGTAATACTTCATTTTAGGTCTTTCTTTTCTGAAAGTTCTGGTTAAGCAAGGACAAATTATCCTCATCAGAGCTTTAATCTTACTGCTTTACACACAGGATGTAGATTTCTGATTGATTAATTTTGAAATTATATTCTGCCCTGCGCTCCCATTTCCTGAAATGAAGCCACATTTCTGGATATGGCTTCAGAGTCTTTTCCACTAAGGTTTTGTTACAATCATCTCTTCATATCCTGCTTTCATGAGAAGTATTAGGGTACATCTAACTATAATAATTATAATTTTCCTTCTGATTCTTGGTTGTCCAAGCACATTTTAGAAATAAATGCTACTATCAAACATATCATCCCCAATATGTGTACCTAAAAGTTGCTCTCACCTTCTTATGTGTCTGATATATTTGTGAGGGAACTTTGGTCACCTGTGTGTCTGGAGAAGACTGCCTTTTCTGTCCACATGGTGACTGATCCTGTGGTGACAGTTTCTTTTTTTTTTTAATTAAAAGGTTTTATTTATTTGTTTTTTTAGAGAGAGATGAAGGGAGGGAGAAAGAAAAGGAGAGAAACATCAATGTGTGGTTGTCTCTCATGCGCCCCCTACTGGGGACCTGGCCTGCAACCCAGGCCTGTGCCCTGATTGGGAATCAAACTAGTGATCCTTACTTCAAAGTCTGGTATTCAGTTCTCTTTGAACGACATGTATTTCTCCAATTTCTTGTGGGGGAAGGAGTGAGTGTAGTATTTGGAAAGAGAAACAGATACTCACTTGTGGATTAGTATTGTCAAAAACAAACAAACAAAGAAACAAATGAAGAAACAATGAATCCTGAATCTGGATAAGCCTCAAGATATAAGTCCCAATTTATAAAAAAAATATAGAGGTCAAAGGAATGTGCTAAATCTACTAAAAAAATGGATTCAACAAAATTCCAATTTCTTCAACAAATAAACTTCATGGAAAAATAAAAAAAAAGTTGGTGAAACTGTAATTTAAAAGAGACATGAGCTATTTAAATAATTGCAATGTATATACTGCATTTGGACTCTGATTCATACAATAAACTGTAAATAAACTATTTATAACATTTATAAGATGGAAAATCTGTACATTGGATAAATATTGGAGAATATTTCAAAAATGGGGCATATGTAGTAATGTGAAAATAAAAATGAAGAAAAAATAAAGAAAATGGCAAAATAAAAATTGTTTTTAGTTTTTGATATGATCTGGTTATTGTGATTGTGTTATATACAAGTTTTAATCTTCCTGAGAAGTTCTGATATAACTGTGGGGTAAAATGATATGATGTCTGAAATGTGTTTCAAAATAACAAGGAGGGGGGAAAGTTGCGGGGTATAGAGGAAAATACTGGCATTAGTTGGTACTTGGTGAAGCTTGATGATGGGTGCGCAATTGTCTTTTATTTTGTAAATTTTGTATGTTCAAAAATGTTCTCACACCTTTTATAAAATTGTTATTGGAATTTTAACTTTGGTCTGTTTCTTGATCCTTAAGATCACTGGGAAAGTTGCTTAAACTCTCTAAGCCTTAATTTTCCTGGATCTTTCACAGAATTTTTCTGAGAACTCAATAAACTGTTCTACAAAATAATTTCTTACCACAGTGCATAGCAGTGTCCCAATTAT